CCCCGGGGCGGGGCGGCCCCGGGGGGGGGGGGGGGCGCCCGCCTGTGCGGCTTCCGTCTCGGCTGCGCTCCCTCGCCGCCGCTCCCCGGGGGCTGGCTTCGAGCTTCCGACCGAGGGAGGGGGCCGTGGCACTAGGGCTTGTACTGCTGGCCGGCTTGTGGGGCCGCCGGGGTGTCGGGAGTTTTGCCGCAAGGAGACAGCAGCCACCTAGGTTTTCTCTGCCCTGACTGATGATGAGGGATGTGTCTTGGAAGGAGATGCTCTTGCCGTTCAGTTTCTTCTGTTGGAATCGCTTATCTCGTAGCTGCTTTGGGAAAGCAGCTGGTGAAGCTCGTCCTCAAATTTGGTTGCCGTTAGCAGATGTGACCAGAAAGGTACGCGTCAGCTTGGTTTGCATTAAGTCAGGGTGTCTCAAGTGCATGTTGGCACGTGTTTTTAGAGTCCAGTTTGAGGTGTTTCATTTCCTTTATGGAAGGGTTTATACTCAAAAAGGAAGTATCCAACTTTGTGAGACAACTAACTTGAGGCAGAAGAGAAAGGGGACTGTCAGCATTTCTCGGAGGAAGGAACAAAAGGTAGACCTGCTGATAACTGCAGGTTAATCAGTGTCTTTCTAGTAGTTCTGAGAACCATAGGTGAAACCGACGGGTTTGGTTGGAGCCAAAAATCAGGCTGAATGGTGGTGGCGTTGCTTATGGATTCTCTAGGAAAGAACTTTTCACATACTATTATTGCTATGAGAGTTTAGGAATTTGCTCATGACGCAAAATTGGTTATTGATATGGAGAAGGATCATGATATTATACAGAAAGATGTGGGTGACCTTTAAGGAATAAATATTAGAAATCAGATTACAGTGAAAAATAAAAAAATGGGTTGTTATGCCATATGACTAGTATAATAATTTTAATCTTAAATTGAAATAGTTGGAAAAAAAAGTGGGGAGGTAGACTTGTTGACTGTCAGATGCCTATCAGTTACTGAAGTGAGGCTCTTGTGAAGAGAGAGATGGCAGTTTTATGGTACTTCTGCAAGGCCACGGGACCTTGTATGCCATCCTGTTTAAATAGTCTGTGAATTCAGCACCTGCGTGCAACAGAGTGGGACCGGCACAAAGCAGGGCTACAAAGGTTGTATTGTTCCCTGTTTGAGAAAATACCTAGAAAAGTATGGCTTTAATTGCTGGAGCAGAAGGGAGGTTGAGAGGGAATAAGAGTACTTGGTGAAAGTACTCTTATACCAGTAGGAGGGAGCAACTGTTTAAGTTGAAGAACAGTGTTGTCCTGAGAATGGGGGCAGAGAACACATTAAAATAAACTAGCTATGAATAAGCTTAGTGTAGGTTTTGAAAGGTTTCTGACTGTCTGAGCAGTTGCACTGGGTTTTTTTTTCCATGGAATAGTAAGAGGTGTCATGTCCGTCCCATGTTGTGTGTGCCCCCAAAAAAGGAGTCACTGATCTTAAGGCTGTATGGCAGTCCTCAGTGTATGCTGGTATGGAGCCCTGTCTTCCTAAAAAAAAGATTAAAAAAATAATCTCTGCATATGCTACCTTCATGCACAAATACATATTGGAAAGGGGAGAGGGCAAAGCTCTTTTTAAACAAAATAGATTTTTATTGTCAGTGCTGTGCTGTTTTACCTGTACTTTGTGGAGGAAAAGCCTTTGTTCTGTATTTGTGCAGTTACCCTGGTCCATGACTATGTCTCCTAGAAAGACAGATACACAGATAATTTGTGTATAATTAACTATAGTACAATTCCTGTATGTGTGGGCAGAATTCTAGTTATAAAAAAATAGTAGATGAACAGTGATAGCTTTTTCTTATCTTGTGATAATATAATTTTCATACAGCTACAGTTCACTCTGTACAAGGTGTTACACTAAACTATTTTGGTAAAAATTACACCACCTATCAAAGTAATGCTTCCACTGCTTGGTAAACCAGGCTTGGTATGTAAAAATAATTTCTCATTTTATTACATGTTGGATGATTAATGCTGATGTTATATGCCAATATAGAAGGAATTATTATGCTTGATAAATACCGTTTAAAGTACAATGTGAATTATTGTTGGTAGTGGTGCTATGGTTTACATTTTTTTCCCCCCAATAAAGATAATACAGTAGTCTCTTAATATATTAGAGGGAGACTGTCAGTAAAAAAACCCCAACAAAGTTGGTTTTATTTAATGTGCTGGTACACATAATGCTTTAGCAAGGTGGATTGAAGGGGTTGTTTGGGTTTTTCTTCTTCAGTTTGGGAGGTGTTTTGTTCTATCTTCTGCTCTTGTGGAGAACACCATAACTGGTGGGAAAGTTATATATCTTTGTCAGTTACGTGACCCAGAGAAATATATAAAGCAGAATGGAAAAACTTCTTTTAAATCACTCATGGTAATGTTACATTTTGTATCAGCAGTACATGAAGATGTTTTGATTTTTGAGATGTATGTTGTGATGATATCTTTTGAAGTATTTTTCCACTAAGACTCTTCTATGCTGTTCTTTAGAATAAACGTAAATAATAGAAGTCTATTTTTTTTAATATATAATTTAAGCCCCAGTCTTCTAGTTATATGCCAGTATAGGTTATCTGCTATAATATGTCAGTAGGAAGGCAGTTAAAGAAGATAAAGAGCATGAAAAGCTTGTGAGATTACCTCCTTTGGTAAGAATCTAAGGAATGTTACATTTCTTCGTTTTGTTGTAGACAATTCAGTTACTGAAAATGTAACCTAAACCATGTTTTTAGAAGTCCTTGGTGTACTTGCATGCATCTGACCATACCTCGTTAATTCATGTTCAGACAGCCCATTTGTTTAGGTGTTTTAAATCTTAAATTGAAAATGTAATGAAGTATTGTTACAATAAGCATGGTGGTACTCCATGTGGAATAATCCCATTTGAAAATTTCTGAGTTTAAACTGAGACCTATTTCTGAATCTGCTTTTCATGTTTTTTTCCATGAATTGGTATATGGGCCTTAACGCTTAGGCTGTTTCTCAGTTAATTGGTACTGGATAAACTAGTAAGTGTTTTTTCTAAACAGATATATTAATTAAAGCTAAATATACTGGTACATAAAAATGCATTAAAATGCATTTTGTGTTAAAAATTAGTACCAGAATTTCTTATTGAATTATGAAAATACTGAAATACGTAGTTATCCCAAACATTCCAAGAATTTAGCTCAAATAGATAACTGCTTGTGACTAATGCACTGTTATTCATTAAAAGTAGAATTAGATTCCTGATTTGGAGATATTTTCCCCTCATATTTATGATATAAGTGGAAATAACTTAGAACAGAATAGACTGTTCCAGTTGGAAAGGACCTACAATGATCATCTAGTCCAACTGCCTGACCAATTCAAGGCTGACCAAGTTAAAGCATGTTATTAAGGGCATCAAAAGTTAGTTTCATTAAATAATACTAAAAATTATCATAGAAACTAAAATAATTGGAAGAAAATTCAGGTTCAGACCAGGAGAAGGAACTCCCTCTCATCTGGCAAGTAGTTCATCTGGGTCAAGACTATGGCATGTATGTGGTCCTGTGGGTGGCAAATTATGTCTATGTTGTGCATAAAGACCAGTCTTAAGATGATAAGCATGCAGTACTTCTAAATGAAAGTCATAGCCTTTGGCTGGAATCCTCTGGGAATGTGAACACCACAAAATATTTTCTTTTTTAGGCTAGAAGATTTTTTTAAAATCCAAAGAAAATATGAATTAACTTCTTCCACATCACTTGGATTTTTCAAACTTCAGTCAGAGTTCCCTGTTGACCTCTTACAAAATAACTCTGTGTCCTATGTTTGGGAAGATTTTTAATTGTTATTTAAAATCATGCTATTTGGGGAGCTTTATTTTTAAAAAAAAAAATTTCCCTAGAAAAAGGTTAATATCTATGGAATGGAGACCAACCCTAGGTGAGGGTCAGCCTTTGCTAGGTTTCCAAAGCTGTGAAACTTGGAATGTTCTCTAAATTGAAGTATAAAAGTCTTAGAACTTCAGCAGAGATACAGGGAAGCTCTTGGTTTTTTTTTTCTCCCATGTTGTCCTTAGAGAAAGCAAATTAAAGTTACAAGTAAGTGTAAATTGTTTCCCTAACTAGGTCAGAGGTCAAACTTAAATACTTTGTATCTCTGTTTGCCACAGTTGTCCTGGAATGGAAATACTGAGCTTTCATTGCTTCAATCAAAATTGTTGCTTGTATCTAGAAGTAGAAAAAACAAAAAGCTAAATATTGTGTTAAGTGCTTGACATTACTGAGGAAAAATAAATATAACGTCTGTGTGTGTTTGTTTTTTCCTAGCATGTTCAGAGTTTTCCCAGAGGTCCTGTGAAGAATGTCTAAAAAATGTTTCGGTAAGATTTTTAACATCCTTTTTGACTGAGAATTTGATGATTCCCCCCCTGCCCCTTAATATGAAGTCAGATTGTTGGGGTTGGTTTGGCTGTTTGGTGGGGGGGTTGTATTGTTTTTAATGGTGAATCTAGTCAAACTACCCTTAATAAAAGGAAGTCTCTGTTCTTATTTAAATAGTAAACTGATGTGCTGCTTCCCCTCTGTCACACTGGATGCCGGTGTGCTTTCACTTTGTTAGGGTTGCTCCATGATTCGGTCACTCGGGTATTTCTCTGTTTTGTCTGGAGAGGATGGACAGTGTAGAATCCAGGCTCCCAGTTTCAGTGTGTGCCCAGTGCTTTCACAGCGCACCTGAGCAAGTTGATGTTGCTGCCGGTTCAGACTCATCTTCGTTTTGCAAGCAGCACTTAGTTAAATTTCCATCTTGTACAAGGGCTAGATAAACTGAATCTTATGTGGCTAAAATGCCTTGTATCTCTTGTATGCTGAATAGCAGAACTGGGAAATGAATGTAAATAAACTAGAAATGCCTTTCTCTGGAGATGCCCCAAGCAATGCATTTAATGGAGGCAGACTGGATTGGTGCTTTGTAGATGTTCAGACATGTTGGCCTCTCCACTGACTACATCAGACTGTAAGTGCTTAAGACTGCCAGGCTAGGTCTCTGTTCTGGTAGGAAAGTGTTTAGATTTCTAATGAGATTGCAATAAGGCAGACACTTAAAACAATAGAATTTGTTTCTCTGTCCTTTTCTCAAGACCTTTTTAGCTCCACAATAAGCATTGTGGTAAGTATGCAGAAGTTGTCTGTCCCGGCAGAGTAGAAGAAACTCTCATATTTAAAGTGAGAGATTGTTTCTAATTCTAACTTAAGATGTCACTGAAAAGAAATATTTCATGAGTCTAAGTTACATAAGTCACTGCAAAATTTTTTCAGTAGGGGAAATTGGGAAATATCTAAAATTAACTGTTTTATGCTTGTCTTGTGTCTCTTTTGGCTTTTTTAACGGAAAAAATATTAATTGCCTTGTATTGATGTGGTTATTGTGTGTTGTCAGACGTGCATGTTTGTCATCATAAGCAGGGCATTGTGTAAAGAACTCTTCATCTTCAAAAGTATAAAGTAGGAAATGGAAAATGTGAGTCATTAAAGATTAAATGTTCAGCACTACCACTGGTGTGACTGTCACTTCAAATAAGCACTGCTGCAGATACATGAGCACAGCCTTTATTAACTTGAGAGCTATGTGTTTGCCTTGTGAGAGAAATAAATCCTTTAACTGTGTTTGTGTACTGAAGACACTAACTGAGTTATAGATACATTATTTTTAGAATCTGCCAAACCAATGACAGTGTCCAGGCTTGTTTTGGTGACAGAATGATGGATGATTCAGGGCAACTGCTTCAGTAGCATCAGTGTTAACCTTGAAGAAAGGAGTTTAGACTTGATTCAGACAATTCGCACATACATTAAAAAAAAAAAAAAAAGGCTACAGAGCAAAGCCATTAGCATTTGTGTGAGCAATGCAAAAGCAAAGGATTGCTGAAATTACTTTGTTTAATTGCTTCAGTAGGAAAAAAAAAATCAGGTTTTCATATTGGTGATAATATAGATAGCAGCAGCAGATAAAAATGAAAATTAAACATTTGGTGAATAGGTAAAAAAAATTCCAAACAAACGGTAAAATGTAGTAATTTAGTTCAGTTAAATAAAATTATAATTCAAAATGCTCAAATTTTGTGTATCCTAATTATAATTGGGTTGGTCTTTTGGGTTGGTCTTTAGAGTTAATGAATACTTATTTTCTTGTGTTTTTATCAATGAGTTCTGAGTGGTAATTTTATAGATACGCTGTTGCATTTCATCTTATTCCTTACAATATGGTACATTAAAAAATAACACAAGGGTTTTGATTAGAGCTGTTGAATCCTGAAACTCAATTTATTTACTTCAAAGAAATATCTACTGCTATGACTAGCAGATTACCAGGTGTATTAAAATTTGAGAACTTTATCTGTTACCAGATAATGTGTAAATATCTATTCATTAACATCTTGAGAGAGTTTTCTCTTCATGTTTCTAACTCCATATGACACTGCGTAAGACAAAATATGTAACGCAAGCACTAGTGAGACAGGACTGCACTTCAAAATCTGTGTGCATGTGTAGAGCTTCAGCATTCTGGAAAATTTTCCATAGTCTCACTTTTAACTTCCGAGTAGTCTACCAACATGCTTTTCTCCTCAGCTATTTATTTTTGTCATTCTCATCTTTGTCCTAATAACAGATGTATGGAATCTAAATTCTTGTGGTAAATGGGTTTTAGGCAAGCTAGGCATTAAAAAAAGGAGCTAACAACAGCTATAGGAAATTATATGATCAATACATATAGCCAATTTTTTTTTGAGGGAAAGGTGGGGATAATAGTCACTTGCGTACATCTATCTGATTGTAGAGGAGGAAGCATTAATTTTATGTTCATAGTTACTGTCTTATCTCTTTTAATACTGAAAATATGTCCTTAAAGTGAGTGTGGACTGAATTAATGATGTTGCACTTCATTATCTATGTGAGACTCTACTAAAATAAAGTCAGCAACATCGATCAGAGTGTGAATGTGGTTCCTAGCATACTCTGCAAAGGATATATGATTTACCTCTAAATAAAATAAAATCTTTTCAGTCTTCATTTTTAGGTTATATCCATGAGGATTAAACTTAAGGAAATGTTTCACCCTTGGGTGTTTAGGCTTTTTTCTTTTTTCTGACTTTATTTTGACAATTAGATCAATTTTTAGCATTGGGAATGAGTCAATTGAAATATTTTTCTCTTACTTCAGCCTTTGCACCAGTCAGTAGCTGTATCAGGTATTGCCTTTTGGGCTACCCACATTTTTAAAAGTTAGTGCAGTACTCTGCATCAGAGCGGTACAGTTGACCTTTCTGTGTTCCTCGTTGTCACCAACAGTGCGGAGTCATCCAGGTTAGAAGAGACCTCACGAGTCATCTGTTCCAGCCTCCCACTCAAAACAGGGTCAACATTACATTCAAACAAGTTTAACAATGACTTTTAGTATGCCCCCCATTATGCATTATTTTTGAACTGTTAATTCCTATTAAATACTTGATCCAACAAAAATAAGCATGCTATCATCTAACATCCTTGATTAAAATTAAAACTTAGGAGGGCAGTTTTTTTGCAAAGATTATTCTGCCGTCTTTATTATTTTTGTTGATGTGTCTTTATGGGGTATGCTTGACTTGTACAGCCTACCAACTACAAAATATGAATACATTTTTCCTGTCTCTTTCTTCACTTTTTTTCAAGACAGCAGAATCTACTACAAGCAGTTTCCTTTGTATTTAATGTTTTCTAACCCTTTAGAGCAAGATAACAGACTTTGTGCAATTGAGGGTGTATGACAGAGATGTTCTTGATAGTACTGTTATGTAAAGCATAGTTCCTGGATGAACTCTTTCTAGAATGAATCCTAAAAAACCCTGTTCTGTCAGGGATTCCTTTTACTGTCACCCAAAACTTCTTCACTGGTTCAGTTGTGTGGTAAAGGAATTTTGAATGAGTATGTATTTTAACAGATGAAAAACAAAACTTAAACTTGATGCTTAGTGGTGACATGAAAACCAGAAATGTTGTGCTGGTATTGTAACTATAATACATGTAAGAAATATTAAATTTTAAAAATATCGAGATGTGTAAGTGTGTACAATTAAGGTACCCAATGTACTTTGCAACACAGATTGGATAAGGCTGTATCTTTTATTACCTTGCAGCAAAACCTCCTGTAGAATTGTAAGGGTTCTTTATTTTTTTTTTTTTCTTTCTGTTGATAGTCAAACATAGGGCTGAAATAAGATTATAAATGTATATGTATTTATCAAAGATACAGGTGTTTTAAAATTCTGAACAATTGGCTTTCTGGTTTTATATTCTTGTTAATTTCAGTAATTCTAAACCCAAAGCCATTTTACCCTCCAGTATACAGGATACCTCAATATGTTACCAAATATCTTCAGGCTAGTGTCAATATTTGTTACCTGTAAGTACAAAATGTAATTATTCACAACTGTCAACTGTTTTTGAAGATCAGTAACTTTTATTTGTTTCTTTTGCACAGTGCCTTTGGTGTTATACCAACAACACTTGTATTGATTACCCTGTAAGAAGCATTCTTCCACCATCTTCATTATGTTCACTCTCAAATGCTCGATGGGGAGTTTGCTGGAGTAGGTACTAATTTTACTTTTGATGTAGAGAATTATTTATGAGTATGATTAGATTAAAGTAAGACTACTGCTTACTAGAGCTGTTTCCTGATGATTTATTTGGAGGGGTGGGGAAGGAGGAGGCAGTTTTTATGATTTGGAACCATGATCCCTGATCTTCTGGACTTACAAAACAGTCATTGTTAAGGGTTCTTTGTGAACAGCCAGTACAGTTATGCTGATCCAATGGCTTTAAAACATTTACTATGTAGTGAAGTTCTGTTGATGTTGAAGTCTAGACTGGGAACCAGCGATGTTGGAATGTTCTGAGTATTTTATGTATGTAGTCAGGATTCACCTGTTTCTTAAATCATACTTTTGAGGCACAAAGAACTAAGGTCATTCCCTGTTGATAACAGGCAACCATTCTTACCTTTTTAAAATTTCTTAAAATGTTGGATGATATGCCTGGACCCATAATTTTTACAGTATATTCCAGTGGCAGCAGTGAACCAATACCACAGGAACAGAACCACCCAAAAATTCTTGAATGCTGTTTTTGCTTAAACAACTGAAAAAAGTGTGGTCTGTAGGTGCTGAAAGCAATGCAGTTAAGGTTGAACAGGAAGCTGTAGAGTGCCATTGTAGATTGTAGTGCTGCATCATTTCATTGTTCTTGGATTTCCTTTTGCTTTGCATTTTGTATTACGAAATACAGTGCAGTGCATTTGCTGCCATTGGGTGAAATCTTTGGAACTTTTTTTGCAATACTGTGTATATAGATCTAAATTCAAAATAGACTGGAACAGAACAAATAAGACATTGAAAAGCTTGTCATATGAAATAAGAGTACATCTTCAGTCCAGTAAAGCAAAGGCTTGCTGCTTTCTATGCATTTACTCATGAACACCAGGAGGCTAAAGGACAAAAACAAGTGGGGATAAACTATCAGTGACTATGTTAACTCTAAATTAGAAGACAGTTATCACACTTAGAGCAGTGCAATTATGGAGTAGTCTTTAAATTAGAGTAGCAAAGGTAGAAGATTGCTATTAAAACGGAGCATGCAAGTTTCTGAACGCTACCACTTCATATAATCCCTGCAAACAGAGGGACTAGATTGCACGATACAGGAGAAATTTACCAATTCTTTGTTCTTAGCAGAAGGGCTCTGTGCTTTGTTTTGTGAGAAAGCATTTATGCTTAGACTTTTGGAGTTTTTTAGAGCTACAGAAGGTGTATCATTTCACTGATAAGGCACACATTATAAGGAAATTGGGCTTTCACTATTATAGTAAATGCTGTTAGTGTGAACTGTTAAGCAGACTTTTTTTCTGGAAGTGTGGTAGGTTGACTCCTGCCAACAGCTAAGTATCCACACTGCTGCTTGCTTGCTCCCTCCCCTGGCCCCAGTGGGATGGAGGAAGAAAATAGGAAGAACAAAAGGAAGAAAAATCATAGATTGAGATAAAGGTAGCTTAATAGGTGAAAGAAAAATGGGGGGGGAACCAAGCAAAGCAAATCACTTGCCACCTCCCACAGGGAGACTAGTGCCCAGCCAGTCCCCAGACAGTAGTCACCTTGGAAGCCAGATACCCCCTCCACTTCTTTTCCTTTACTTCAGGTTTTATTGCTGATCGTGGCAGTATATGGTGTGGCATATCCCTTTGGCCAGTTTGGGTCAGGTGTTCTGGCAGTGTCCCCTCCTGACCTCTCTGATCTCTTGCCTACCTCCAGCCCTACTCACTGGGGGGAACAGAGTGTGTGTGTGTGGGAAAAGATAAAATCTTGATGCTTTTCAAGCCTATTCAGCAACAGCCAAAACATTGGTCTATTATCAGCCCTGTTTTAGCCAGAAATCGAAAACATGGCATCATACCAACTGCTGTGAAGAGAGTTAACTGTCCCAGCCACACCCAGTATGGAAATGCATTTGTGCTGTGTCCTTTTGCAAAGCAGGGATGACTGGTATCTCCTGATACTAAGGGTGTTCTTGGCAGTTTACTCCTGGTATAGAAATGGCTTCTAGCTTGGGTGCCATTTGTATTTCTAGATTGAATGCAGCTTAAACAGAGAATGGAGCACATGCTCAGCAAAAATGATAAAAGTGGAAAAAGAAAAAAAAAAACCCAAAACAACAAAAAACCCCAGATATGCATTTCCTTAATAGATTTTTTACAAATTATATGCAACAACATGCCATGGGGATATATAGTCTTATTGAGACTGTCCCCTTTGGGCACAGCAGGAAAACTAATTACCTTGTAAGAGTGGTGGTATTTTTCCTTTTTGCAAATAAAATGAGGAGATGAGTGTTGGCTCAGTGTTTCTGAAAATGAAGCTGAATATTGCAGCTCTCAAAAAGTCAAAAACAAATGACTGGCTTCCAGTTCCAATTTTTATGGGATAAGACATGTTGACAGATTATTAACCAGCAGTGAAGAAAAAAAAGAACAGTATAGAAGCAACATAATATGAAGTAGCTTAATTGTATTGTTTTTCATTAATAATAAGCAAATGAAATACTGGAGACAGGAATGCAGGCTGAAAACTGACCATCTTTTTCTGCACTTTGTTAATAGGTTCGAAATATATTTTTTGCTTCAGTTAAATGGCATTTAAAAATAAATAGTATACTTTAAAAAAATAAATGGAGATTAAAACCATTTTTTGTTTTTACTTCACTGAATGAAGTATATTTCATTGCCTGTAACTTGTAGGGGAGTTACAGAATGAGAAACGGGGTAGGGTGAAATCTATTACTTGAAAAATTTATGTGCTCAGGATTTACTTGTGTATTGTAAGTAGAAACTACGTATTAATCTGTATTATAAACTGTAGCCAGTAAATTATAACACACAAGCAAAAATATTTGCTGGGACCTAATCTTTGGCAATATCTGTGAAGGATATTCCTTGGCCAAATGTGAGTTGGTGAGATCTGTAGAGAAGTAAGACTCTTTGGCTTATGCATGTGATCAGAGAGGACAGACCTTCTGAACTTCGCTTGCTAAATTTGACTGCCTTATCACTAGTACCTTGAAGCAGTAAAAAGTGCATGTGCAGCTACTTTGTATTACTGCAGCAGCATGCAGCTGCTGAATCTAGCAGAGTTCAGAGGGATTTATGGGGGAGAGGGGAGAAGAGACAGCTTCCCTTTAGCTTTAAAATAGACAGTGTGGGGAGGGGTGTTTAGTTTTTATTCTCTCTGATACAACTTCCCTGACTGATTTCCTTTTGTCCTTTTTTAGGTGCTTTAAATAACTCCTCAAAAGTTGTGTCTATAGTGTTGCTTGTATCATCCCTGTTTGCTTTCTTCTTGGGCCTCACTCTTTTCCAGGACATCAGGTTTCTGATTCAGCTACAGTTGTTACAGTGTATGCAGTTAAAATAATACACCACCACCCATTTGTTAACCACTCTGTGGATGTAGAAGATGACTCTCTCTGGACATAGAAGATGACTTAGGAAGTTTTATGGAGAGTTTTATATTGGCTCCTTCAAATCCTCTGACATTGTCATCTTATTTCATTTTACTCTTTCTTTAACTGCTGCATGTAATGCGTCTACACTGATGCTGCACCTATATGACTTATGTGTTCATGCTGTACATTGGCTAAGGTTGTCATTGGGAGGCAGAACTGTGGAATCACACCAGTAGATATATATCCTATGAAGTATTATAGGATGACTTTTAATAATTTGGTGTATGTAAAGAGCAATTTTACTTAATGTCTGTTCAGTGTAGATTATGCATACTGGCAAAGTTTTTTCAGTTTTAACTGGGGTAGTTGTGCAGAGTTGTGGTTTTGATATTTTTTTTTTTTCTTCATAGAGGTGAAAAAAATGCTTGGGAAGGAGGGGGAGAATTATCAGAAAAACAAATGTTAATGCTGGAGTCTAACAAGTTGAATATATTCATATTTTTCAGTAAACTTTGAGGCTTTAATTATTGCCATAGCTGTAGTAGCTGGACTCATTCTGGTGTCCATAGCAGTCTGTTGCTGTTACTGCTGTTACTGCAGAAGGCGTTCCAGGAGGTAAATATATATACATATATATTTTTGTTTCCTTTACTAACTTTGGGTGCTGGTCTTCCCTACCTACCTACAATTTTTACTCTCCAGTGTACTAAGAATCTCTTCATTTGGAAGCAATTTTGGTCACTTTGTTTTATTTGTTTGAGAGAGAACCAAAAAAAAGGTGTTCAGTGACAGGCAGTGTGACCGTAGAAATGATGCTGGAATGACACTGAAGTGATGTTATTAGTGGTGGCATCTCAGATATGTTCTTTAAGTAAGCTATTGCTTTACATTTCTACATTTTATACTTCCTTATTAAGATTGGACATGAGATATTTCAATGGCCAAATAAATACTTGCTTCTTGTAATAACAGAACAAATAATTTCTTTCAAGGCAAGGTCACGGTACAGCAAAAAGGGACCGGATGGGTAATAAGTGAGCAACAATTTCCTACGGCACTTGGTATCCGTGCTTCAGAGTTTGCTCTAGGATCTCCTGGTAGACAGTATCTACATGATTAGCTGTCTTTGCCAATTCAACAAAATATTCTAAATGTAAGATGATACTTTTTTGCTCTAAGATACTAAGAGTAACTGACTTATTTTCAAGTAAAGTAATACTGCAAAAATTAAATGTTTTTTAGATCTTGGAGGACTTGTAAAACTTTTTTTCTACTGGGTTACTTCTTTAATTGGCTAATATCCTTCAAAAGGAGGGAAATAGTTGATGAGCAGGTAAAATAGGTAAGTCAGTGCTTCCATGGGAGGTGATCAGTGCTTATTCCCTAATGAAACACCTGGAAAGCCATGTTTATTGGGACAGCACAATATGCTTCCTTGTGTCACTGAAGTTTTAGAGCTCAGGTTTCTGGGCAGTGGAGTTCCAGCTTCAGCTAGCTCTGTTCCTTTTGTCCTTCAGTACTACTCATGTGAACAAAATGTGGACCTTATTTCTTGATCTGAAATAATTTCTATACTCAAGTACCTGTTATTCATTGTTCTTGTTTGAGGGTTGTTTTTTTTTTAAAGAATTTATGCAGCTGCACACTGTTTAGTGCTGACCTTCAAGCCAGAGAAATATCGTACATCTGTGGCTTGCAAAAAAGGAGAAAACAATTTTAAATAACATGTCATTCCCTTTTCTTTTCCCTGAGGAAGATGCATGCACCTGTTCTGCTGGCAGATTGGTCTACCAAATCTCTCCTAGTGCAAACGTTGATAACTCTTTAGCCCTGTGCTGATAAGCCCTGAAGTTGTATAGAACTATTTTAGGTTTTATGTAAGATCTGCCAACTTGCTCTGCAGTAGAACTGAGTAGGCCCCTGTGGCTGACATGCCAACAAATAAACCTTGATTCCTGTAAAGAGGGAGATTTGTGCCTAACTTCAGTTTTAGTAGCTAAGTCGTCAGTCAGTACTGTAACATCTAATTCCAAAAATAGAGGGCTAGTTGAGAGTCATCTTATGCCAGAACTCCAAAGGTGTCAAGCTTAATCTTCTGACACTCAGAGGATTTAAAGGTCTTGTCAGAGTGGGGTCCAGCTTATTTCAGGAGGATTCAGACTGTATTATTACACTGGAGCCTGAGATATTACTGGCTTTAAACCCACTGATTCTTAGCAGGAATTCTTTTGCTATCTGTTTCCTCAGTTTGGGGACTCCTTTTCCACAAAAGAAACTTTTTTTTTTTTTTTTTAATAAATTAAAAGGGGAAAAATTTTTTAATTTCTGATGAGCACACATTGCCAGGCCCTAGCTGGGGAATACACACTGTTCTGAACAGCCTGTCTCCCTGGGACCAGAGGTGAGCAGTCGCTGCCAGGAACTCAGCAAGGTGCCAGCGTTCCCTGGGGTCCTATCTCTCTTGTGAGCTGAGTCTGAAGCCAGCAGGGAGAAATCAGCTCTCCTGTACCATGCGAGACTGATTGAAAAAGAAACTTTTTTTTTTTTTTTTTTTTTAATGAATTAGAAGGAGGAAAATTTGTAGAAATGCAGTATTAAATCTGTTTTACTGACTTCTTACATATTATCGGCTCAGATCTTGGGTGCAACCTTGCTTTGCAGAAGCATCAGTATTCCTTCTGGGAGTTTTTAAGCTGTGGGGTTTCAGTGTTTAAGAAGCCAGCACTCATCTTTTCCCTGAACACAGAGAATACTTAGGTGCATTAATCCCCACATCAGTAACGTAGCTGGCTCACCTGAATCCATCCCTACCCTAGAAATCCTAGGACTCTTGGTGCATTGTTTCAGTTCATTATTTGTATCCTATGTATGGACTTTAAGAGTCTGGTTCCATGTACTTAAGATATAACTTTTCATGAAAATATACTAAATAGATTGTCTTGAACTTCTTCAGTTTAACAGCCACTTTTTTACAATTTTTGTAATTTCAGACTTTCTGAATTTTGAAGAAAAACTCATTTCCTTCAAAGTGTCTAGAAATCGGAAGATATTTAATGTATTTTTTTAATTATAGGGAAGAAATATATTTTCTGAATCCTATACCAGCTTTTTATTGATTTGGTGGGTTTGTATTTTGCAACGCCAGTGTGAAGTGAGACTATTACATAATTAAGACACCGGGGTCTCCAGTAAAGTAGTTTTACAGAATGATGCCCAAGAATGGGAGCTTTTAGTCTTCCTGGACATGCTAATATGGGGAATTGATTAGTTTTACAAAAGGTCTAACATAGTTTTCCAGTAAAGGTGACCTGTTGCATGTGTTTCCTGCTGCTAAACTCCCCCAAGGTTTTTCTAACTCTTTATGTGGAAACAAAAAAGGAGGAACTAGTAAATATGTATGTGAAACATTACATGGATTCTGAATTACTGATTGTATTTAAATGACTAAGATGTTCAGAGACATGTATGGACTGATTGAGCAGATGGAAAAATTGAATTCAGATTTCCAGTTCTGGTATCTGTGAATTTTGTATGTTAAAACATTTGACATGCTATAATTAACCACTGGATGTCACTCTTGCTTAATTTGTATGTTGGTTGCTGCAGATGTGTGGTACTTTAACCATCCATTTCTCTATTAGCAGGTGTGTTAATAGTGTAAATATTCATATCAAACATCTTCAGATAGTGTATTCAGTTTTGAAAAATGATTACCACCTGAAAAAGCACGGCAGGTGTCCATTCACTAATCCTGAAGAATTGTCATTAATTCTGTCAGAAAAAAAATAACAGACAAATAAATATTGTTTGGCATTTGCTTTAGAGTTCTACAATTCTTATATGGTGTATCTAATGGTTAAGTGAAGCTGAGCTTTCTCCAAGGCAGGTCTCAAAACTTAAGTGCATGCCTTCAGGAGAGCATATCTGCACATGCACAGCTCAGATGTACTATATAGGCTCAGTATTTCCCAGAATCACACAGCTGATGCACTCAGGTAAATCCTTGCTCATTCCAGAACAGTGAAGGCAGCTGCCAAGACAGTTCATGCAGACTGCTTTCCTGGGGGCAACTTGAGATTGGATAGTGATGGCTGTAGGAAAGATAAATTGTTCTGGCATCAAAGGCTTATGAACCATCAATCTTCTTTCAGAGGGCAACAATGGAATTAACTGTGCATGTGCAGTATGCTTACTCTAAAATGGGGTGTGACACGTGGGGAAAATGGCAAGTAGGACTCCTACTTCTATAACAGTCTGCAACCTGTTCCTAAGAGACTTTAAATTGTCATGTGGAGTCTGAAGCACACATTGCTACAGTGGGTGAAGCATTTGGGCATTATAAAATGTGAAAGGGTAATTCTACAAATTTGTCAATTATACTTATTCAGCAATGAAATTTTACATGGCTGTGAAGAAGTATCTCAGGTCAGACTATAAATCCTTTTTGAAAAGTCATTTAGTCAAATGACTAAGCAGTGATTGCCTAGCACTGAAATTGCTTTTTCTTCCTCTTATGCTTTCCTTCCCTCCTTATTTTTCTAGTAGACCAGATGAAGAAGAAGAACGGCTAGCTAGAAAAAGAGAGGAACGAAGACTACAGTCTCTTCAGAGGTAAGCCTTGACAGCTTGATATACAGCTATACACTTCCTGGTGATTTGGAATATTCTGCCCTTCTAAGGAATCCACAGAGTACTAAACAAAGAGGCATTATGGAGTTAGGCATGACAGTGTCAGTTTTTTACAGAATGGGGCTTACTGTGAGATTTGCAAACCTGATTAGGAGCCTGTATTTCCGTAAGTGAACAGGGAGTGAATAGGTTGATACTCACCGTGGCAGGTACAAGTGCTCTGTGCCAACCAAGAGCAAACAGGAGGAACGTGTCTGAAGTCTTGCCTAGTCTCTCCTGGACTGATGCCTGTCTGTGGCATGAGTTAATGCCTAACTGAGGCTGGGATTCAGAGGTGGAAACCACTTTTTGGATTCATTTGGTAACTCATTCTTTTTCTTTTAAAATCTAGCTGGGAAACGTAGAGAGGTTGGTAGTGAGACACCTGTTGGAAATTTTGCTCAGGAAGTGGAAAACTTTGACTCGGATCTTACTTTAGACTTAATCCCACATTTCCATCCTTTCTGTTAAAGCTGTAGTACAGTATAGGAAGAAGTGCAAGAGTCAGCAGGGATACAGTGCTTCTCAGTGGGAACAGTATTCCTTCAGATGTAGGTTTTTATAGCTTAGTTCTCCAGTGACTCTTCATGGTTTTTACATTATTCTTTAGAAAAACAGTTTTTATAGGTAGGACCATGATACCTGGTACAAGCCCACTGTACCTTTTGAATCATACTTCCTTTCATGATCTTTATTTCGGAGATTCACCATGGATTAGCTTCAGCAAGACAGCAGGAGAGTCCTAACCAAACTAATGCTAGGCTTGGAGCTGTCAGGAGTGGGTTTGAATACCCACAGACCGTCAAGGAAATTAATCCTAGGTTTGCCGCTTCCTGGTCATGTTCTCTAAATGCTTGGCTGCCAAGTAACAGGTGGGCACCTTCACTGCCTTGCTGATGCCTGCTGTTTTCTCCTGAACTCAGACTCATTGTTAATATGAGCAGGGACTGCAGGGAGCAAGGCATGCTTCCAGATGAGACCCCTTGGTGAGCTTTTGCACAAAGACATTAAGTTTCTCTATTACGAATGTGCATAAGAAGACATGGTAGGTAGGCAAACATGCTTGGTTTCCTCAGATAGATTATGTTTCTGGCTAGGCACAAAAGTGGGAGCCGATAAAGTTCTCTTACAGACGTACCTATGTTGTTCATGTCTCTGACTGGCAGGAGCTGGGAGAATCCCTTATCTTAACTCCATGCAAATCTGTTTTCTGGTTCTGAACTGCCAGGTTGTATAAGCAAACACAGCAACTGTTTGCCCCAAATCTGACAATGGTTATGGCTCTGAAGCAGGCATTGTGAAACTAGGAAGCAGAATAGATTCTGTTGTAATGGGTTAAATTGATCCTTTAGCCTTGTACAAAATTCCTAAATTGTGGGCAATAGAAAGAATTAGAATACTGGGAATGTTTAACAAGTAAGAATTTTTCAGAGCTCGAGTTAGTGCAAAGCTTGAATGGTTAGTTTTGGTTTTGTGACTTTGATATTTTTTTTAGAGCTATTACATACTGGCAGTTTAAATATATCTATTTCATTTTTCTACTAGGTGTGTAATACAGTTTAGTAGCTTTTAGACTTACCAAATTCTCTTTATTCTGCACAAATTTTATTTTTCAGACTTACTGTTGCAGTAATGCGTATTCTGCATTTGTACTTGTTTAGGAAAGTATAAGCTTAAAAGTAACTTTCTGCAGAGGGAAGATGAGAATTAGATGTCTCCTAGTGCAGCTGAGCTAAATTACTGTCTTGAAAATGTATATTTTTGAGTGTAATAGTGCCACTGATTTAACCCTTTAGATTGTTTGTAAAGGCCTTCTACTTCCAATGTAACTGTGAGCTGCTGATGGAAACAGCATTCTTACTTTTCTTTCACACCCAAGGCACAACATTCCTTGTCTCTGTGCTATGCCAAATTTGTTTTGCAGAAAGCTATTCATGTTTCTGTGGTGTTTTTGAGTTTGTTTTTTTTTTTGTTCTGTTGGGTGAATTCAGTGAACAGTCTCGGCATGTATCCATAAAATTGCCAGGACCCACAGGATGCAAGGACAGCGTGAATCCAGGGATGGGAGAAAAGCAAAGAAAGCATTTATTTGGGGGTGGAGTAGAAAGCAATACTTCCCCTTTCACCATTGCAAGGTAGTGTCAAACTTTATCCAAGAAGAGAATGGATGCAAATTTGTTTTCCTAAATATCTTAATTTGTGAGCTGAAAGTGTCATGCCTGAATGTGCACAGAAGGGTAAGAAATAGGTGGCCAGTTTAGGAAGTACACTCATGCATAGGTCGTACCATACAGTTTCTCAGATAAGTGATGTTGAAGACTTGCAGTGGACCAGAAAAAAGGGAAATTTTCCACCTGTTAATCCACCTCTAACTAGTCATGGCACAACAGGCAGAGTGCTAGTGTGAAGGTAACTTCTCCTGTAATGCTTTTGTTTTCTTCTAAAGAGAAGGGATCCTGTGAGGAATATCAATATTTTGTTGTATGTCAAAACCATGTGCCTTGTTGTGGTGAAATGTACATCCTTAATATTATGCTACATTGTTCAGTTAAATCAACACTTACTTTTGTTTGTTATAAAGCAAAGACTTGTGACCAGGTGCATAGGGGATGATTGTGTACCATAACCTTTCCACTGTGATTTGTGTATTGACTTTAAATTCTTGGTACAATTAATCTGTACGAAGTCTGATACTTCTGGAGCATAGGGTTTTCTGTGCACACACAGAGCAAGTGGTGTTGTACCAGGCAATTAGCAATGCAGAGCTAAGATCAACTCCATTCCTGAATTAAGCCTAGGAACAGGGATTGCTGGGAGCAGACTGTTCCACCAGAATGATTGCTGCAGCCTTAGAGCAGCAGCCCTCCTGCCTAGCTTGTCTCAGGAGTGTGTCTGTGAAACAGAGAAGCTGTTCTAATTGCAGGAGAGAGCTTAGCAGCAGCCCTGGGGTATTTCCCATGTTCTGAACATGCATACTCATTGTGTGGCTGGGGGGGATTGGTTGGGTCATGGGAAAACACAAGGAGTAGGCCACTTCCAGCAGCCGGAACACCTCACCCTACCCGCTGCTTGCTTCCTGTAAGTCCTCAGGAGGATGAATTGCTAGTAGCAGGCTGTAGAACAGATTAATAGTCTCAACAAGCCATTTTTGACCAGCAAACTGCAGAGGAAAACACTGTATTGTACTGTGTGGTCTTTCCTTTCTACAACCTGTGAAGTTTTCACATAGTTTCTGAAAACAGTGGGATAGATATTCAGATAAATACTGTGGGAGGAAAATAGGCACAGCACTGACCTTGTGTCTGTCTTTTTTTTTTTTTTTTTTCTTTCCTGTCGTTGTCTTTTTTTTTTTTTTTCCTGTGGGATACAGCTACTTCATATACAGCTGTTCAGATCAGTTGGCAATGGAAGGAGAACAGGAATAGCCTGAGCTTCATTTCATGGTTCCATTAGTGAATGGTAAAAATAAAGATGCCCAAGTTGCGTAGTGTGTGATTTTTGCAATCTTCAAGATAATTGCAGCATCTAGTATTTTCTGGCTTTTCAGGTACACAGTAGAAGTCTGCTTTGTAAGATTAAAATTTGTTTGTGTTAAAATTCAGTTTATTATGGATACTTAGGAAGTGTCTTTTTGGAATACCTAGATGGCTGTTAGAATGAAGAGTAAGGGTAATGACATTGGCCCTCTGCTTGTCTTCAAAAGGAAGAAACTGGCTGTCACTGAGAAGGCTGAAAATCACTGCTGATTTGTAGAGTTTGCACTTAGAGTGAGGGGCAGGAGGGAAAGGAAACCTGGAGTTCAGTTCTTGACTAATACTGAAGGAAACCTATTGCATAGGTTTAGTCCTTTATTTGACTTCATGTCATCTCTAACATGAAAAATCATTTCTAAAGATAGCATCAAGTAGTGAGTCTTTTTCGGTACACTCATTTAATTATTTACAGCTGCAAATACATGGTACATATGCTAGATGTATATAATTTATAAATCATAGTTTATAAATTATAAGTTGATAAACCAATGAAAAGCAATGAGATCTTGAATGAGATAAACTGCCAAGTATACTTTGGTAGTGTACTGGAAAGGGGGAGACAGGGAAAGAAAGGATCGCAGTTCATTTGTGAAAAACCAAGTATGGAAAATTATGATGTGAATTGTTAGTATTAGGAAAAATACTTTCTCGGCGACAGCAGTGGGGACAACTTGCATGAAGAGCCAACGATTTAGCATACAGAAGATGGAGTAATAGCAGTAGTATTAAGAAACAGAACTGACTCAGAAGACTGTAAAGTGACTTCAGTTGACCATAATTTAAGATGTGAGCGGTGCAGTAAGCCACCTCTGCGTGGCTGATTCAGTGACTGCCTGTTCAGAATTGTGTCTGATTCTTTTCAGTTGATGTATAACTAAGCCTTATTTACTGTACAAGGATTTAGTCATGGGTGATATGATATAGTTGTGGCTGCCTGTCAAAGTTCCGATGTTTCACAAATATTAGTGCCTTTACCCTTCAAACTTAAACAATGTAAGCATTTTAGATGTTTGGTGGTTTGTTTTGAATAGCCTAGGGAAGTATCCTAAAGTGTTTCTGAGGTTTAAAGCCTACACAGCCTGATTTCCTCCCCCACTTGCCTTTACCCTTCTTAAGCAGATGCTTAGTGCCTTCAGTTTCAGTGTTGAGGGCAGATTGAGACTGACTGCTGAAGTACTGAGATTTCAGTTGAAACTGCAGCAGTGAGTCTCCGTTATTTCAGACAGGATATGCAAAACAGTGAAGAAAATGCCATTAGTACTACCAGGAAAAAACCTAGTTTGAGGTCTCCTGATATCCCATGGAAACTATGCAGAAATAAGGGCTGGCTTTATAAAGGAGAAGGGTGCTTTAAGCAGAATCTCTGTTCTCTTCCTGAGACCCCTTGCCTCATATAATGCCTTCCTCTTA